GCCCCGCCGGGAGGAGGTGCCGGGCCGGGCTCCCTCCGTGGGCAGCGTCGCGCCCGCCCCACTGCCCCTAGGACCCCCGTCCCGCTTCCCGGTGCTCATGCCCTGTCGCTCCCCACCTCCTCCAGGGCGACGGAGGGGACCCGGGGACACGGCCGAAGGGCCCTGCTGGAGGTTGCGGGAAAACTGTGGGGGACCAGGGGCCATAGGGTGCCCGGGGCCGGGCAGGGGGGGAACGGCTGCCGCATCTTATCCGGGAATGGGGCGCAACCCCCCATGGGAGGGGGGTAAACAAACAAGTAGGATTAGCAGAAGGGCCGCAGTTAAAAAAAAAGAGTTAAAAAAAAATAGAAGGAAAGATCAAAGCTCTGGGTAAAAGACTCTTCAAATTACACGTTTGAAGCTTTTCCATAATTCCAAGGCGACAGATAGATAACAAGCTGCACATTCCTTATCACATATGGAATCAATCTGAAAGGAGTCTCTTGATCAGAATCTGTTAATTGCAGTGACATATGATTTGGAAAGAAAACACAATTAATGACCCTTCATGTTAGGGCTTTGGGACGAGGCCACTGACAATCTGCGCTCTGCAGCCAATGTCAACTTTTAAAAAAATTATTTATTAGTAGTAGTATTAATGTTATTATTAGTAAACCATTAAAGGGAGGCATTCCTCGAGCCTCGGCAACTGTTTTGTCTCCATTTGCGTTGCACGTTTCTTCAAGAAGGGGGAGAAGAGAAAGGGAGTGTATGAGCGCCTTTCCTTCAAGGTTTGGGGAGCTAAAATGATTTAGTACCTTGTCTGTAAATCTAATGACCTAAGGTGAGAAAAAATACTTCGTATTTTATTATTACCATTTGTGGTGAGCATTACCAGGAAATAGCAGAACCCGTTTGAAATAGTAAATATATGTATCCATTTAAAACCCATTATTGCAGAGCTTTTCCCAAAGTGAAATAAAGCAAACCTCCCCAATCCCATTTTCTAGCGCCCTCTGTCCATGGCTCTCCTTGGCTCTGCTGCCTCTTCTCGGGCCCTGGGACCGCAGAGCCTCGGCTGAGCCTGCTTGGGTGCTGGGGGTGTGTGTGGATGCTGGGGTGCCGGGAGGGGGGCAGCAGCAATGGGTACTCCGGGGCTGTTAGTGTCACACCCGTCCTGCAATGTTAGCAGCGGAGGGAGCACAAATTTTAAAGGCTATACTCTGTCATTAAATGGTAATGGCTTTGTTTTAGAAGGGAGAGGAAGAGGGAAGGGGAGAGGTTCATTTGAAGGTTATAAAGCATACACTTTAATAGGATCGAAGTGAAATTAGTTAATAAGAAAATGCTGGCCAGAAGCTCTCCGGGCTTTTAAGTGCTCTCCAGGCCATTTAGGAAAATTGAATAAGAACAGACTCTGTTACCTGCAACCCCAACTATTATCTCCAGTTCTGCACAGAGGCGAGAAGGGAAAAATAGTGCCTGGGAGACCTGAAGTCCCGTACACTCCCTGCCAGCATATTTCCTCGAGAAATAATGTCCCCTTTCTGCTCGCAATCGTGTTCTCCTGCTGCTGCTTTTCAGCAGACCAGACTACGCTGTGTACCACAAGGGGGTAAGCAAAGGTAAGGGGCCATCAGCAGATGCTGAAGGCTCCGGGGACAGCTCTGAGCAGCAGCTCGTCCCCGCTCGGGCCAAGCTGGCCTCTTGGTGTTATTTTTTCCCTTCCATTTCTCTCAGGGTTTTTTGTTGGTTTTTTTTTTTCCCCCCACCATTGTAGTGCTTTTCTGATTTGCGTTCGGACCGCTGCCAATAGGTCAGTATATTGTGTTACCTAACTTCCTATCTGCTCCCTGTCTCCCTCCCTTTCAACTTTATAATTTTAGAGGTGTTAATAAAACCTTTCCTTTGGTAAATCGTTCATTAAAACCCCCACCGAAACCTGGAAAGACTTCACAAATAAAGCAGGGCTCAGGCGAAGGCTTTTGTCCAAAAAGTGCATAATTGTTGTGAATCTTAGGAAACGTTTATCTTTATAGGAATTTTTTATTCATATCTGTGGTTTGACCGTTTAGGTGGTTTACAATCTGTTAGTGCAATTCACTAATTTTATGCCAATATATTTTATGCACCCGGTTAGACTTTCCACCGGAATGAGTGGTCTTTGTGCCCGGCCGGTGGCTGCGCGGCTCTGCCTCCGGCCCGGCAGGGGATGTTCCCGGCGGGGGATGTTCCCGGAGCTCCACGGCAGCGCAGGAACGGGCAGAAAGTGCACACAACTGTGGGAAACTTCCCCTCGCCATGTTCATCCCCCCCTTTCCACGCCCGGCGCTCACCGGCCGGGCTGGGGTCGCCCCCGCCTGCCTCTGCGGCTG